GCAGATTTTAGAGTCACGAAAAAGGCTCAGTGATCTAGAGATTTAAAGGTCGATTTCGTTCAGGAGTATGTAACAAGACTGCAGGGAAACCGGAATCAACATCACTATCATCACTTAGTAGATTGTAGATCGCTGCTGTTCTTGTTGGAAACGTTCATCGGGGCTTTTCATTGTCTCCAAACGCTTCGAAGCGTCAAGAGTGAAATCCTAACGACTATGGCTAACAAGAAAAATACTTATACTAAAGACGCTGGGCGGGAAAACCTACAGACATTCATGCAAAGTATCCATTATTGGTATCCGCAAGGTAATTCGTAAAGTATCCATTTCCGAATTTCAAAGGTAGATCGATGCGTTCATTGGGGTCTCTTCATTGTTTAGTAAAATCCCATTGACCATGGCCAGCAAGCCAAGAAAATAGGCACTTGTAATACCGAAGGCGCCAACCATGAAAACCTAGATTCACGCAATATGTTTCTTATTGGTATCCGCCAGGTAATTCGCAAAGTATCCATATCCGAATTTCAAAAGTAGACCGATGTTAGTCTTGCTGAAAGCGTGGGGGGCTCTTCATTGTTTAGTAAAATCCCAATGACCATGTCCAGCAAGCCAAGAAAATACGCACTTATCTAATATCAATATTGTTAGTTTCTGCGCCCAGCTCTGAATAGAGCTAGAGGAGGACAAACTGAAGTAGCCCATATTTAAGAAAAGTAAAAATCTGACATTATATTGGAACATAATAAAAAACGAAAAATATGTTTTCTTTTCGTAAACACGTCCTGTAAAAATTGGAAAAATTGTACCAAATGTACCTACATAGTAAGTCTATCATTGTAATATTGGGTGCGGTATTACATTAGATAGCTGGTGACTATAATAGACATAGACAGCAGATGCGGTGGAAGAATATACGAAGAAAAAGTAAATTTACAACCCAATAAAAGAGCTAAGGCAGCTCGTGGCGTGGCTCAATAACAACGCCCAGACATTAACTGCGGCAGCAATGCTCAACAACGACAGCCGCGGTGAGTTAAATTAACTGATCGCCTCCCTTTATTGGAACGTAAATAACGAGTCAATACGTCTCTATCAGAGTCGCACGATTCGCTATTGTTTACCGCCATTAATCACTAGATACCACACTAACCTGAGGCGCCCTCATTAAGTTGTAGGTGTCTCCCCAAAAAACAATTACTCATTACTGTATTTCATTCAATTAAATGTTGGTATTTTATGCTTCCTAAATGATAGAATTATTATAAACTAGGTTTTACCCCCGAGGCTTCGCTCGCGTTGATGTCGTGAATACGTGTCAAAACTCATCGATAACCACATAAAACTAATCTTTTTGTCCTTCCGGAACACCAACTTTTTTCTGGATAAAAGGTATACCCTATGTCCTCTTTTATAACCTCACCAACACGTACACAAAATTTTATGATAGGTTTTACCCGCGGCTTCGCACGAGTTGATGTGGTAAATACGTGTCAAAAATCGTCGACGACCACATAAACCTAATCATTCTATCCTTCCGGAACACCACCTTTTTTGGGATAAAAGGTACCCTACGTCTTTTTCTGTATCTTTGACAATGTGTGCACAAAATTTCATGATAGGTTTTACCCGCAGCTTCGCTCGAGTTGATGTCGTAAATACGTGTCACAGGTCATCGACAACCACATAAAACTAATAATTTTGTCCATCCGGAACACCATATTTTTTCTGGATAAAAAGTACCCTATGTCCTTTTATGTACCCCTGACAATGCGTGCACAAAATTTCATGATAGGTTTTACCCGCGGCTTCGCTCGAGTTGATGTGGTAAATACGTGTCAAAAATCATCGACGACCACATGGACCTAATCATTCTAAACTTCCGGAACATCACCTTTTTTGAGATAAAAGGTACCCTACGTCCTTTTCTGAACCCTTGACAATGCGTACACAAAATTTCATGATAGGTTTTACCCGCGGCTTCGCTCGAGTTGATGTTTAAATACCTGTCAAAGATCATTGACCACCACTTAAAACAATTTTTTTTCTATCCTTCGGGAACAGTATTTTTTCTGGGTAAAAGGTACCCTAGATCCTTTTCTATATCCCTGGCAATGCGGGTATAAAATTTCATGATAGGTTTTACCCGCGGCTCCGCTCGAGTTGATGTTTTAATACCTGTCAGATATCATTGACGACCACATAAAACAATTTTTCTCTATTCTTCGGGAACAGTATTTTTTCTGGGTAAAAGGTATAGAGACGCCCGACCGTTACAATATCTGAAGAAGTACCTAACCGGGGATAATAATATGGTGTAATAGTACCCCAAACTGATCAGATACTAGCTAATTCCATTAAGAATTAAATGAAATCCCTCGATTTCATCTAATCGTCCGATGATATACCTTGCGAGGGTAGCTTTTAAAATAAAAATCTTCAATCATTTAGGAATATATCGATATTTAATAGTTAATTCATTGAGTTCCTCACAGCATTGACTATTTTATAATTGCAGCATTTATTCTAAACTTAATAGATAAAGACTCTTTCATTGTTCAATTTTCTAACGTTTCGCTTCGGGCTTGAGCTTCAATTAAAGATTTCTTCGCCTAATAAGTTGAAAATAAATGTTTCATCAATTATTCGACTTTTATCTTCAAGGAGACAATAGATATATTTTTTACACATATCTAACTGAGGCTTTTAGCATTTGACTCTACCTACACTTAATAAAAGTTAACGCTTTTTGAATGACTAAAGTAAATTTCAGTTTACATTTAGGAATGTCTATACATACCTAATATAAATTTCATTGTTTTGTAAAGAAACTGTTGCAAATGGCAAATTATGTCTTCCAGCTACCGAATTGGTGACTGTCAGGGAAAAGTTACGGACACAATTTAGGTAGGTAATAGATAATCATTGTTAATGCAGTTAAACGTAGCAATCAGTACGGTGTATTGCTGCAATAAATAATTCCTACCTTCTAAGAACGGTTTTATAACGAGCCCTAAACGTACCGGTAATAAAAAAATTATTTAGAATCCGAGACAAATATTGGAATGGTCATCTCTGTCGGCCAAATTCAACACAGAATTCGTTCTGCAGAGGCCGGTTTTGGACAAGAAAGGCATACAAGTGTAAATTACTTTATATTTTTATGAGGCACTTTCGTTTTACAGCCTCATAATTTTCTCGGCTACCGATGCAATAAAATTATGAACCTTCTGCCCGTACAAATTCGAATATCTGCTAATAACCTCAACGAATATTATTACAAGGAAAGAAAATTTACCCAAAATTAAGCACAACATCATTTCATACAGGATTATCAATAACCAAATGTGCGATGATCATTTAGGTTAAAAATGCTTTAAACGTTTTGGGATACTTTTCAGTAAAATGTGTAGTACCTACAGGTTGAATAAATCTTCGTAAGAAATGAAGTATAGATAAAAATAATTGTATTAATTAAACGACTATCAAAAATTTAACTTACCCACAATTCCACTGAACAAAAGCCTAGCACATCCATGATTAACAATGACTTGCCATATTCCAAGCCTAACTGCCCAAAGTTAAGCACGTCATCGTCATAATAAGCCTAAATTGTTGTTTAGACATATGGAATAGTTACAATTAACATCACTTGTGGCGCTGCTGGTGCTTTGTTTACATATTTCATGGGATTTTGATCAAATTTTGATGACTGAAAAATGAATAATACTTAATTAATAACTTAGTCGCTTTTTGATGATTCTATTACACCTAAAAGACTATCTAGTCTATCATACTATAATGGGACACTATTTCGTTTTATGCCTAGCCCAAACGCATCATGATATTACATTTCTTCATACAGTTCTTACAAAGCTCAAATTTTGTGTGCTTCCTTTTCAGAAAAATGATTGAACAGGGTTAAATTAAAAACAAATGGTATATTAAGTAATAGCGAAATAATCAAATATTTCGAAACTATATACGAACAGTGTAAAATGTGCCTTTAATGTTCTCTATTATTAAGGTCATAAATATATGTTAAAGGCATAGTAAAATATTACAGATTTAAGGGCAATACAAATGCAGTATTTATTAGGTATAAGCTACTGTTTTGGGCATACAATAGGTTTATGGTGGTGCATAATTGCCCTAGTGAACTATTTCTTCTGAGAATGGTGCATGCGCTTGTCCTTGGCCTGATTGTAAAGGAACAAAAATTATTTTTCACGCCTTAAAATGAACATTCAGAACATAACAGTGTGAGGAGAAACAGGGTCAGTGGGAGTCATATTGTTAAGAAGCAATTTAACAGAACTTATGTCAAAATATTTAAAAATGTTTCCTTTAAATATATACAGAAAGTAAAAGCAAAACCAAGGTATACAGGGCGATGAAACATACTATTCAGAAATTATAGCATTTGCTTTAATGTTTAGTTTTTATTATTATTTGGTTTATTTCATTTCATCACAGAAAGACCTTCAAATATAATAACTGTAACTATCTTAATTCAACTTGCGTTAGTAATTAATGATACTTTTTCAGTATACATCACTAAAGCTGTCTTACAGTAAATGTAGTCTATTTAAAAGAATCATTTTTAGTATAAAAGATCAAAAAATTAATCATTAATAAAGACTTAAAATTTATATGGTATATACCGCCGTTTTATTTTATTTTTTTTAGGCAGTTCAGTTAGACAACCAACCGTACAAAGAAGTGAAGGTGTAAGCATACAAAAATACGAATATTTCCTATAAGTACTGAAATTAATACTTGCAGTAATTTAGCGAACAAATGCTCTTTTCTATTGAAACTACATCATAATTTTGCTAGTTTGTTAATGCTCATTATGCAAATTTCTTCAGCTTTTGCACGTAAAAAAATATATTTTATACACGACGTATAAATTGGTTGGAAAGCAATTTCTGATTATTTTAATAAAAATATGCATTGATTATAAAACTTAATTTATTTATATACAATTTCAATTACGATTAGAATACATTTGTATAACTATTGAAAACAGCATGTAAATCTTACATATGTAATAAACTAAAACTACAGTGGTCATATTTTCTTTGACATACAAAAATCAAATTTTCAAGTTATTTCTACTTATTTGAGAACAGATAGTATTTGATTATTGTGATTTAAATATTAAGCTCCACACATATCACAATTTTCTGGATTATTTAAACTGCAAATTAAAGCAGCTTCTCTTGTATCTGCATCTTCATATACTTCTTCCTTAACATACCCATTTGATTCGTTTCCATTGGCCACATTTCCATTCTGCATAGTATTTCCCACCAATAATATACTCTTATCAACAGTGACTTGTTGCGGTTTAGCAGCAGGTTTTGTTCTTAAATAATACATACCAGTTTTCAAGCCCTTCTTCCATCCATAAAAATGAATGGACGACATTACTTGATAGTTTGGCTTTTCAATATGAATATTTAAAGACTGGCTCTGGTCAATAAAGGCTCCACGATCTGCCGCCATGTTTAAAATTACTTTCTGTGAAATTTCCCACACAGTTTTATATATCTTTTTCATATCATCGGGAATTCCTGGAATATTTTGAATTGAGCCACAATTGGCAAGAACCTGGTTTTTCATCACGTCATCCCACAGTCCTAACTCAGTCAAATCTCTAAGCAAATGATGGTTGACAACGAAAAATTCTCCAGATAAAACGCGTCTTGTATATAGATTCGAAGTGTATGGTTCTACAGATTCATTATTACCCAAAATTTGGGCTGTTGAAGCGGTAGGCATTGGGGCAAGAAGTAATGAATTTCTAATACCGTACTTAGCAATTTTCGCTTTCAAAGCACCCCAATCCCACAAGTCTGTGGGAGTTTTATTCCACATATCATACTGTAAAATCCCCTTGCTTACAGGACTACCTTCATAAGTGGAATAAGGACCATCTTTCTCTGCGATTTCACAGCTTGCTTCAAGTGCACCGTAATACAAAGTTTCGAAAATTTGTTGATTAAGTTTCGCAGCTTCAGGGCTGTCATAAGCTATACGAAGTAAAATAAAAGCATCGGCTAAACCTTGTACACCGATTCCAATCGGTCTGTGCCTCACATTTGAGGTTTTGGCCTCTGGTACGGGATAATAATTAACGTCGATAATTTTGTTTAGGTTTTTCGTAACAACTTTGGTGATTTCTTTTAACTTCTTAAAATCGTAGGATTTTCTATCGGGCGTTACAAACATATTCACTGCAAGCGATGCCAAATTACAGACCGCAACTTCGTCAGGGGAAGTATATTCAACAATTTCTGTGCATAAATTGCTGCTTCTAATTGTTCCTAAGTTTTGTTGATTGCTTTTTCTGTTGCATGCATCTTTATATAGCATGAAAGGAGTCCCAGTTTCGACTTGAGAAACAATTATAGCATGCCACAATTTCTGAGCAGGTACTTGAGAAATGTATTTACCTTCTGCTTCATACTTTTCATACAACTGTTCAAACTTTTCTCCCCAATTATCGTAAAGTCCGGGACATTGATGAGGACACATCAGTGACCAGTGCCCATTTTGTTCAACTCTTTTCATAAACAAATCTGGTATCCATAGGGCATAAAACAAATCTCTTGCTCTCATCTCTTCTTTTCCTGTATTTTTTTTCAAATTTAAAAATTCAAATATGTCTGCATGCCATGGTTCAAGATAGATAGCAAAAGCACCAGGTCTCTTGTTACCTCCTTGATCTACATATCTGGCTAAATTATTAAAAACACGAAGCATAGGAACTAAACCGTTCGAAGTGCCGTTGGTGCCTGCTATGAAACTACCTTTAGCACGTATATTGTGCACGCTTATGCCCAAACCACCTGCCGATTTAGAAATGAGAGCACTTGTAGTCAAACATTTACAAATGCCTTCAATGCTATCATCAGGCATTGCTACCAAGAAACACGATGAAAGCTGAGGTCTTGTGGTCCCAGCTGAGAACAGAGTAGGACTTGCATGTGTGAAAAATCGATCTGACATTAAATTGTACGTTTCTATTGCGGCATCTATATCTTTATAGTGAATGCCCACAGCAACTCGCATAAGCATGTGTTGAGGTCTTTCGACGATTTTTCCGTTGACTTTCAAGAGATACGAACGTTCTAAAGTTTTAAAACCAAAATAATTGTAGGAAAAATCGCGATCATAGACGATAACGGAATTCAGTTGTTCTGCATTCTCCATTATTATTTCATAAATTTCTTTTGATATCAAAGGAGTAAAACTGCCAGTTTGTTCATTCTTAGCTTTATAAAGAGTTTCGATGACATCTATAATAATAAAAGTAGCATATCTTAAATTTTTATTACTCAACATATTACTCAAGAAACGTGAAAGACTATCCTGATGACTAATTTTCTATTACAATCTAGAAGAAGCTTAAATTTCAGGCAACATTTTTAAAATTCAGCAGTATTTATCACAAATCAGGAAACCTATTACAATGTACAAAATGATAAGTTTATTCTGTGAGGAAGAAATGCCACCCAAAAGCCTATAACTGTGATGTTACTTTGAACTATAATTTTAAAACTCTTTTCTTACCACTGAACTGTTTCTTCGTTTCCTTATGGAGGTTAGACATAGCAATACGTGCTGCTAATATCGCATAATCAGGATGGTTAGTAGTCATTGTTGCTGCAGTTTCTGCAGCTAGGGTATCCAATTCAACAGTAGTAACTCCAGGATATAAGCCACTTATAACTTTTAAAGTAATTGAGACCTATATATAAGAATTGTTAATAGAAATGAAACAATTATTCTCTTATAATATATTTACTGGATCTACAAAATCCATATTCAACCCATAGCATAGTTTTTGAATCCTTGAAGTAATCTTGTCCAAATGGACTTCCTCTTCCCTTCCATCTGCAGATGATTATTATGTTAAAACACACTGAATTTTAAGCAATTGCAAAATCATATTTAGATTACTTAATGCAATTAAAATTAATGTATAAACCATTAGAGGCTGCTGCTACATATAATCAAGTTTTCTGTTAAAATAATGAATCTCTGTTACTATATTTAGGTGTTTTATGAAATCTCTTTACTGCTACACAAAAAGTATAATGGTGCAACATTTTCATTCCATGAGGTCTCACTTGAGTAGTACATTTAACATATACATGAATTAAAGAAATACAATATAAGCACATTTTAAATAACCCTACAAATATTTCCATTAAAAACTACATGGATCACTTCATATCTAATAATTTAAAATTGTACTATACCTCTCTTGATCACGTAGTTTCTCTTGTGGTCCTTTCTCCTATTCATTTTGTTTATTGCTTAATTTCTCCTGCATGTACTATCACAAATACAATTTAAAAAATACTTAAGCCACTCAAGCCCTTTAAAAGATATGGAATTTGGCGGCTACCTTAATTTTTCAGGTTATGCGTAACGGTTTCTTAACTGCTGTGTTACCAGTGGCGTAATCCATAGATAAACGCAATCCTGTTCAAAAGCGACAAATTTTAAATCAATTGAACTAGAAGCTTAGTCGAAAGAAAAATTATAATTGAATTTAATTCAATTTAAGAATTCAATTAATTCCAATTCTGACAATAGGTAACAAAAGTTTCGTTTATTATTTCTTTTAAAATAGTTTACGGAGTCTCCACATGATTTTAATCTAACCTAACTGAATCTGTGGATCTAAATCATAGATCTTTTTTGCAGGGTATTCCCTGAATTTTCAATAAGGCTCAGGCTGTATGTTTAATTTGTGCAAAATATTTATTCTCTATAATCAGAAGTATTATATTCTGAATTGTTTAATTATATTATAACGTATTAATTTTACCCGTAATCAGCAATTGCCAATTCCCGAACCATTTTCCGTATACAGGACACGCTTATAAAGAGCTTTGTAGGCAATTTTTGTTTAAGAAAAGTCAAAATCTTTGTGTCTATTATGCAAAAACAAAACTATTTTGTATTTATTTACGTTGATTTCATTTGTTACAAATCTTCTGACTTTCAATTGGTTAATTATTATATCCAAAAGAGATTTTTTTAATAGTATTTCTCCAATATATTTAAAAAACATGAATCATAAAAACATGACATTAATAACTATTAGAATATTACATCTACTCATGAAATGTACGAAAATGAAGATGAAAAGTGCCCTTCTTATAAAAAGCAAAAAATATTACGAGTTGATTGTAACATTCAGTATCACATATAAAAAACCCGATTAAATAAACCGTAGCAGGTAGTAGTACTCAATCATTACTTTCGGGGGAGTCCAAAGTTAACTCTTCGGCTTCTGTTGCCGTTTCCGTAGGCTGAACAGTTTCGGTTGACGTTGAAGGCACCGTTTCAACCGAACTTTTCTTAGAAGCAGGCGACCACTTGTTTACGTCATCTTTGTCGCATGATGGACACTCGAAATGAACACAATGAAACACCTAAAGCATAAACCCATATCAAAAACTACCCACTGAATTTATAGCTACACATAAACCTGTTTATAAAGTTAATGTAAATAAAATTTACCTCGTTCGCAGTATTGTGGGTCCCCACGATACGAATAAAAACAACCGGTCTCGGAGGGAATCGAATAACCTGCCAAGATTTGCAAGATTCTCGAGTTTTATCAACCACTATTTCCCAATCCCATATGTTTACAGATGTTTCAATATAATAACTATAACTGCGATCATCGCAATCCCACAAAAGAAGTCGTAAACTTGAAATAATATACGGTTGGCCTGATAAAAGAACGGTTTAAGATCTCAAAACAAAAATTAACTTTCTCAATAACTCACCTAGTTGAATTAATATAGAGCCAGAACCTAATTGGTGACAAGTGTAACCCGAATCCCAATCATAATGCTTGGTGTCTCCGTTTAAAAGTGCATTTCGGGATCGACTAATTTTTTTTAATTAATAACAATAATACAATATTAATTTTCACATACAATCATATGTATATTATTTTAATTTTAAAGTGAAAATAAAGCCACAAAAATAAAGTCATAGAATCATAGAATTTGAAATGAAAAACAATAAATAAAATCTTACCTCACACCTTCAATTACTGACGCACTGCATTCCTGTGTTGCGACATTGTATTGAGGTACAATCATATCATTTACCATTCGAGGAATTTTTACTTTACACATTGCTTCAAACGCTACTAGGTGAAATACCTATAAAACAGTTCATATACAAGGTGTTTGTCCATATTTGCCTTGAATTACTATATTTACCTTGTTGACAGTATTGTGTGTCCCAACAATTCGAATATATTGTACCACTCGATTTTCAAAGTATAAATACTGCCATGAACGGCATGAGAAGTGACCATAATCAACAACACGAACCCAATCTTTCTGTTCTATTGACACTTCAATATAATATGAATATGATCTAGAAATATTGCATAAAACTTAACTGTATTATAAATAGTAATGAAGTAGATTAAATATATGTAATCAGTTAAACCAAACACTTTATATTTAAAACAAAACTACATAGATTAATTTTTCCAATAGGATATTTTAAAGGAAATAATTATCGATTTTTTTTAAGTCTTTCAAAAGATGAAATTTATTAATACATTTTAAATTTTAATAGTGTTGAAAACAAACATCTTTCATTAAAAAAAAATTACCTTAAGTCACGATCCCATAAAAGCATTCTTATGTGATTTATGATGGACGGCGTTCCTAGTTTAACGACAATTCCTTGATCTCCAGGTCCATTTATGGCGTGTCTTGTATATCCTCTCTCCATATCATAATTAGAATGATCACCATCTAATAAGGCCTCCATCAGTTCCCCAAGGACTACTTTTGACCCCAATCTTGGTGATGCCACATTTTCGTCCAGCACTAAACCATTTCATCCCCAAGGCATTAAATATAAATATGTTAAAAAGATGATCAAAAACTCAATAAAAATATAATTACATAGTTGTCCTCTGTGTTGCAGACTGCTTAGACGAGCGTTGGTCCGCTCAGCAATTGCATCAAGCAATGTATCAGGCTTGACCAAACTTGCGGGCCTGACTACAGATAATAAATCAGATACTGTCATCAAAGGTAATCGTACACAACTCATAACTAGATCATCCTTGTCCTCATTTGCTTTATACCAAGCTGCTACACCTCTGAAAATTTCCACTTCTGGCGCAAAAAATGAATCTCTTTTTAGTAGCTCTACCAGCGATGCCTAAAATTTGTTTCTCATATGTTGTATAATTTTTACATTTAATTAATGTTTCAGAAAGTCGAGCATAAAGACAATTCATTTTTTAAAAGTATACGTATAGGCTGGTTATTTTTGTGGTTCTGCATCCATTCTTTTTTTACTTTTTCAACAAATACCACATACATATTGTATTACTCTAAACTCGAAAACAACAGTATCTTGTTCGAAATCTCGCTTTTTCAATTTCGATTATTATTCTTCCATATACATGTTTTTGAAAATTGCCTTTGGCAATTAGACAGTCGTGTTTAAAGGTATTTTAATAAATCCACATACAAACTATTTTATTTATGCATTAAAACACAGCTTTTTACATTTTTTATGTCTATTTCTGAAAATGATATAGGTAAACTATATATTTTTGGAAAGCTTATGTTCTGGAAATTAATATTCAGTAATGGTCTGCTATGATTTCCATTTAATAAAATGTTAATTCGGGCTTATGATTAATCTAACACTTTCATCTTAAATTAAACTTGAAGTTAAAAATCCTATGAAAAGTTCTATACAACTTTTATCAATAACCACTAATAAAAAAAATGTAAAGACAATCTTAAAAATGACCCGTATTTTGAAAATTATCTTTTTTAGAAAATTTTGTAATTATCTGATGATGCTGTCTAACTTTGCTTCTTCTGTGAGGAATCCATACATTCTTTTGTAGAATAAACACCCTGCATACAGATAATTGTCTTTTATTTATTTGACAACAATTACCACTCAATTTTGAAACAAAACATTATTTTCTAATAGTCAATAAACATATAATACTGAAACATACCTGGGATAACTGTGCAAAAGATTCATGAACAAGAATTTCAGATGCATTTTGATCCAAAAAAGTATGACAGACCTTTACAAGCTGATCTAAGCCATAAAGACGAGCTGTGTCAAGGATTGCACAAACATTTTTAAGAGCTAAAAGTTGTCTCAAAAGATTTGATATCGCAGTTTCAAGTTCTTGAAAACCATATTGATGAGCCAGACCTAATGTATCCAAAATAACATCTTCTCTTGTTGTTAACAAAAACATATGACCTATAATTCAGTGAAAAATTACTAAAAGTTAATATTGTTTATACTATTTGTCACTTACCAGAATAGATATACTTTAAAAGTGTCTTAAAAGCTTTCAGTGGTGCATCTGGTAACTCAATTTCAGCCTAGTAAATCATATAAATAAATAATAGAGCACAAAAGGATATTAATTACATACCTGGTTTGATTCCTTCATACCCCCATAAAGTAAAGCTCTAAAATATTCACTTCGAGCAGCTAAAATCACCTACAATTATAAACATGAGTATCACTGTAATTTTGCATCATAACTTTTATAAACCTTATGTGCATACAAACGCTGTCCTTCAACAATCAGTGTTACATCTGAATACTCTTGGTTCATGCATAATGAAGACAAATTCTCTGAAAACTGCGAGAGATGCTCTATATCACCTAATCTTGTTGAAATACTTGGACTGTTCGACTTTAAATATTGATGGCTACTACTCATCTGAAAATAAAACTGTGAGTCCATGTTCGGCACACAAAACTTTGATAAACTCATGCTTTAATTTTGTTAATTTACAGCCTTTGAAAACGTCACCGTGACAATTTACCTTGTTTCTTATTGCGATCTCTTAATAGACTTATTAAAAAACGAGAAGCCTATAATAGGAACAATAATATCATTTATTTATTATTTAAAACATTATTAATTTTTAACATTAACGACCTTGTTTACATCATCCTAAAACCTAACTTGCAAACAGTAAACTACAGTAAACATAAGTTCATAGATAAGGATAGACTGTTACAAGTTCAGGTTAGTACGTTGCAAACTCACTGCCTAACGATGGCCTAACCTAACGACCACTAACGATCATCTAACGAACTAACGACAACAACAGTGACGGGTAAAAGTTTATGATCAGCTAGAGGCCTTACCTTTTGTAGATCTATTATCTATGGCTAGAGGCTAGAGTTGTGAGTAGTCAACACAACTTACAGCCAATGAGTTAATGTGGCGTTAATCACCTGTTAATGTTCTTAAGAAGAAAAGGTAGTGTTAAATTATTATTTCATTAAGTTTAAGATTTTCTAAAACCCTTAATAATCACTAACCTTTCTGGGATATATTTACATATTATAAATAAATTCTTAATAAAAACTTCACTGATACTAACACTTAAATGAAGATTTTCAACAATAACATAACCTCCATGAGAATTACCCAATAATCTCTCAAACCCTGATTGTCAAACAAGAATTACTGTGTTTGAATTTATATTGTAGGTATTGGTTTGTAGGTAACCGTTCGAAATATTAAAAAAATAGAATTGAAGTCAGGTAGATAAAAGCCCTGTACATATACTTAACTGACTATGAGAAGTTAAACAATTTATATAGGAGTATCCTTGAAATAACAGTGATTGATTGGAGTACTTGCAACATAAGTATATAAAACTACATGTAACATTTATTGATGAAATGGCAAATTTATTGGAAAATTTAAATATCCCACCATGTATTTGGTTTGAAGGGGAGGCTCGTAGAAATTCAACAGTTTCAATATTATCTGGTTTATTGGTATGTAGCATTTTGTGTAGATTTAGAAATAAATAATTTTTGTCTTTGGCAGTTTTTTATGGGCTGGTGGATGATTATTGATGCTGCTAGTGTTTATCCTGGTACTGTAGCAGCAGGATACCACATGTGTGGTGTTGTTGGCACACTGTCATTAGTTATGGTCAATTCTGTAACCAATGCTCAGGTATTTGAGTAACATTAATTAAATAATCAAGTACTTATAATAAAAAGAAGTGTGCAATTTAAGGTACGAGGGGACTCATATGATGCAGGATGTTTAGGATCCCGTGGAGCTAGGATATGGCTCTTTCTTGGTTTTGTTATGGGATTTGCATCAGTAATTGCAGCATGTTGGATTCTTTTTGCCGACTTTGTAGGAGCAAGTAAGTTTATTTTTTCTATTCATTATTTTGTATTTTATAGGGGAATAATAGATAGAAGTCAATAAAACAAATCTAAAAATTCCATTTGTAACGCCCCCAGAAATTGTCCCCAATCCTCTACTTCAAGTTACCCTTTTTAAATGAATTAATGGTCATCAATCCTTTAATTGAATTATTTTTCAGAAGAAGCATCTCAGTGGCCTGGAGTCGCTTTATTCATGCAAAATGCATTAATTTTCGTATCTTCGCTAGTTTTTAAATTTGGGAGAACTGAAGATACTTATTAATGTATAGTCTGAGTCGCTGCTGTGTTAATCTGAAATTGATCTTTTCTGAACTAATCATGATTGCAATTTTTTTTGTTTTATTTACACACAAAAGGCATAGAAATTGTTTCCTTAATCTTGGATAGCATTTGCATTTTTCTATGCTTATGTAAATATTTACTGTATTAAAAGTAAACTGATTTAATGTGCCTAACTCTTTTAGGTTTTAATATTGTATTAAGATAACAATTTATATAGTATGTGTATAATTTTTAATACTTGAGTAGTGTTATGATTTAGTTATTTATGAATGTATCTATAATGTGTAAACCAATTAAAAAATTTCCCTACATTTGTTTTTAAGCCTTTCATTTGCACATTTTATGGATAATTCCCGCAACCTCGTTCTCGCAAATTATACGCGGCTGTCGCTTATGATTTTACGTTGAAGCAGAAGTAGATACTTCGTCCCGCGTACAGCGTTGTTTGCTTAATGTTGCGATCATTAAAGCTGGCGTTGTCGTCTGCGTGTAAGAAAACTTGTTAGGTATTAAATAGGATTATCGTGATAATTTTTATTGGAGATAAAGACTAAACGTCCAAGGAATACCCAAAACCAATAAAATTTGATCGAAAAGATAAAACGATGTTTAAAATATAAATACAAATATTAACAGTAGAATTAAAGCTTTTAAATAGTGGGAATTCATATTAACAGATAAAAGCCACAAATTAAACGTGACTTTTTCGGTATCTACATATAAATGTTGTATGGTTTATACATATATACAACTATGTGTGCTCAAAAACTAGGGAAGGCCAGGAAATCACGTCAATAAACCTAACCGACCGAACCGTCGTCTTTTTCATTCATGATTACCGCAGGCGAAAAACGAAATCCAACAAAGACACGCGGGAGATTCCAAGAGCAAGATGGAACTATAACCTGTTATGCAAAACAAGGACGTATCACCGGCAACGGAGAAACGCACTGTGCTGAGGAGATTCCGAGCGTTAGCGAAACCCACGCATTGAGCTCAAGGATTGACGGCAGTGACTATTTCCATGACAGAACTCCGGACAATCTCTCGACCAACAAGAAATACGTTGGTAATACAAAGGATAATCCACAGTTCCGAGAATTAAACGATTATAATGCATATATACATCCACTACTGGTTTTGTATTTAAAGATACAGACATTAGCATTCATCACAACGTACACATGCGTATATTTATGCATGCTGTGTTCATCTCTTTCTCTCTCTCTCTCCCTGTTCCTCTCGCCTCTCCCACCCCCTTCCCACTCCCTCGTTTAAATTTAGACCGTGATGATGATAACACGATTGTCGCCGATTAATGCTGATAATTAAAAATCAAAACGAAGTTGCAAACAACACACGTCACTGCGCTGAGTTGGCGTTCGGTACTTTTTACAGCGGCCGATGCTAATTGCTTTTTGAAGACCAATTAAAGGTCGTACAGTAAACACGTTTGCATTTTCGCTTTCTAATACTGTAGGTACATGGGTGTGTACAAGTATCACCCGACACTGCCACATTTTTTATTTTCCGACACTAGGCAGATTTTAAACGTCATTACTCAAACAACTACTGAAAATTTACGACATTTACTAAGGCTTAAAGTAAACGCATCTTGTTTTATGTCTTTAGTTATTTGCATCTTGATTTGAAATTTAATCTTTTCATTGTATGTTGTATGTAACGAGTCAAAGGTTATAGGAGGTATGAAATAAGCAGAGAAATTGACGTCAGTTAAAGTAGAAAATAAAGAGAATTGCGGAGTGGCGTGACTGCAACGCGCTACGTTAACTGTGTTTTTCGTTGAGCGAATTTATTTTATTTCCTCTGCTCACTGTTGGAACGTAAATACATCTCCGCACTAGCAAGAATAGTATGTTAGAATGAGAAAGCATCACGCACAAATCTACCGCAAATCCAACTATCGACAGAGATAAATATAAAACAGGTTTGAAAGATTTCGAAAAACGGCCCACAACAATAAACAGGGTCGCGCAACGGGCCAAAGAGAGACAGACGAAACGAACGGAAAAGATACGCGTGTTACTAGAACTTGACTGAAATTGCTTCGACTCAATGCCTTAGTCACTGGTGTAATGTCGAAGAGAGAGAGAGAACTGGCGTAAACATGGCGCCTTGGGAGCGAGCATATCGTGTTTGAGTGGTATCGTGTACGCGCAGTTTTGACGACGTTTATCTCCTCTCTTAAATATTTACAAAGAGACAGTGAACGAATAATATTATGTAGTATGCGTGACGGTGCCACATAAAAAATTTAGTGCCAAAACGGGGATTTTCCGCGATTCATGTGCTTGAGCCGCTGTGCTTTAAGGAATAATCAACAAAGTCCGCGAACCAGTGCCAAATATTTTCCAGTCACAATAATGTAAACAATAGAGTTGGAAGAACAGGCGGTGGATGCAAAGTCTCAACCGGGTAAGTTCTTTGAGTAACATTGTTCATTTTTGCGTCTAACAAGCAGCAGGGTGTAATAAGTAAACGTAAGTAAACGCTGTGTGGTATGTATGTTTTTGCTCGGTGCAGAGCCTTGCGAGATATATTTTCGCATTGTATTATACGCTTTGGCGCCGCTACGACTATCACTTTGGCGTCATAGGCTGTCTGTCTCGCAGTACAGGTTCCCCCTGCCCCGTTCCTGCCCACGGATTGTTGGTTCTGCTCTGTTGTCTGTCCACAAATGCTCGTTCGTGTGACGTTCGTAGTTTAGCATGCCAGTAAATATTTCACAATTTCTGGTTAACGTACTGGCATCCATTCGATTATTGGCTACAATAGTATCGAAATAAATTGAGCTGTACGCATTACGTCATGTTTAGCAGTTTTTAATGCCACATTCTTATTACGTGGGCGGTATCATTGCGATTGAAGACTGTGAAAACAGGTCCAAAAATGTACACATTTAAAATACCGGAATTTTTACATCACGCTAATGCGACCTAATGCTAATTTGACCCTAATGTTGTTAATTTATTTTTACTCATCTATTAACAAAATGAAACTAAATATATCCACATACGCTTGGAAATACGTATTTAAAATTATAATATTGCATGTATTCACATTTTGATTAAATATCCCCCCTGTTAAGTATCGTTTTATTTTTCTTTCAATACCAGGGGCTCATAAACTAAGTAGTGTATGTAAAATACCTAGCACACAGGTGTCTCATACATAGATGCCCAATTGACAAGGTAATTTACCTTTAAATATTATAGATGTATGTACCTGCCTATTATGTAGAGGTAACGAATATTTCTGAGTCATTATGTGCAGGTACACATGTTGTGTCAAACTTTCATAATAACTGATTTATCGAGTTTTATCACTATTTTTTTAGTCATTATTAAATCTATATTTTACAAGTACTTAGGGTACGGTACCTAACGTCATATAGTTGGCAAAAAAAATAGACTGAGTGTCATAAATATCCGAATGAATACGTAACACTTCCTAAAATAATAACAATTCGGTTTGTTTACATTTTTGAGCTTTGTTCTGCATTATAATTAAATATAAAATAATAATTAGTAGGAAGTATAATTTCATTAAACATATAAACAGAAGAACAGCTGAAAACATTGATTTTGTTTATATTTTCTTTATTGGCCATAATATATCATGTGATAGGTTTGTATTTATATAGTTCAGTAAAACACTTGTACATAAGTAATAAACAAGGATAAAACTTATTTTCATTACGATTTAATTAATTTTATTATACGCAAGCAACGTCCAATTCGAATTAGGGTTTTGTATTTTATTCCTACACATTAAAAAAAAAATTATTGTAAAAACCTAGAAGTTCGTAAGTTATAAATCATTTTTTGTTATATGATTATCACTAAACAATTGTACTTAGAGCAAGTTTAGTGCGTTTAATTGGATACAACCTAAGTCGCTCGACTTTACTTACAAAAAAACATAAACTATAAGAGGAAAATCAACTAGTTGCTCTATTAGTAAAGTCTTGCTTCATTGTTTCATCTTTTTTTTTTTCTATACAATCTACATTTCTTTTTTCTTTGCTCTTGTTTCGTTATTATCAATTCCGATGAAATTTACGTTGATTCTAACGTAACTTTTTCTTTTCATTTTGTTTTCTCTGAATTAATAATTCTGGTAAGGTTTCTTTATATTTTTAGACCTACCTACCTACCTATTTGGAGTTTTTCTGTTGCGTTTTCCCAGTTCGTATCTGATTGTCCTTGTTAATTTATTGTATATGTGCATTATATTAGAAGCAGAAACAGGAGCTAATTGTAAGAAGAATAGATGTAAACCTAGATTAGATTACTGTTCACAAATAGTTAAGGATGTGGGATGTTCTAGTTTTAGGGAAATGCGAAGATTAGCTTAGGATAAGAAAGGGTGGAGGTGCGTGTCCAACCAATGTTAGGACTAACAACCTTATGATGAGTATTATGTCATCATCATCATCATCATGTCTTTTTCAGCCTGAAGACGTAATCTCCATTTCTTCCTTTCTACATGCGAAACTATTATTAATAATGTAATCTAAGTCTACCTCCATCCCCTTTAACTCCTGTTTCTACTTCTAACATTTCTTCAACTAACCCTTCATGTCTGAGAAGTGTTTTACCAACCTATTGCGTTTATTTCTTGCTGTTGACTTCCCTGTCACATGAGAGAAGACATTCGCATGTATTATTTAGGTCCTTGCCTTCTATGAAACCAAGGGTTTCGTCCCAATAAGTATCATATCATCACATCATTCTAAAAACTGTTCCACAGTGATATACTGACCTACTACAATGACTGGTATATTGCTGAATTGTATATCCGTTCTCCTGTTCTTTCTGATACCTCTTCATTTCAATCTCTTCCAACTTTTCTTTTGATGCTAGTATAATTACATAGATGATGGTCTTCTTAATTAAAATATAAGAATGTACAATTAATTATCCAAATAATTAGTTCGACACATTGCACATACGTTCCTTCACAATATTGTTTGTACATTTGCGTGTATTTTTAATCTCTTTTCTTACACCAACACACCATTCGTAAATACATTATTTGTGTATGAAAGTAAGTGATGGACTTTGAGTTTTCATATTTTAACCTTGTTTGTATTTTGTATTCGCATAATACACACAAACATGCAATGTATTTGTGGAGTTGTAGATACGAATAGATTATTGTTAGTTTTAGTTTCTATATAAATTAAAAATGAATAAATATTGTTGGAGTTGCTACTGTAACTAATTCAATTTGAGCAAGGAGGTACAAAAAGGAATTAAAAAACCATTTCACTTAATTATACATGCTTATGTGCTCCTGATACCTAGCAAAACTAATGCTTTCCTGATAGGTAATCATTAAATGCAATTTTTTACCGTGGAAGGAATGCGTACTATTAGTAGGAGTAAAGGTAAAAAATAAATTCGTTAGTTTAGGATGGGTAGTCTTATTATGTAATATTCAAATTGATTATCCATGTCATTGATGTGAAAATCTGTATAAAAGAGGATGTAGAATTTGTGTGAAGCTTTTCTTTATTCTAGTTAAAATTTCCACAAACGCAACCAGTCAGTAGGTATAGGTTTAATATCATGGTTACTTATTATCACCCATGTTGTTATAAAATTGTAATCAGTGTAAGATAAGGACTATCAGTTGATAATGAATAATGCCCATCTGTACTTTAACGATATCAAGTAGAAATTTCCTAATCAGTAAAAATAGTTGTTGCGAATGCGGTATTATAAGGAACAAAAAAAAGGCTTAGCAAGGCATCTCGGCGAATGTTACCAGTGCCAGTGTAATAAAACCTATTCGAAAATAAGCCTCCTCTTCCGAGAAAAATCAGGTACCACGTGCGAACGGCGCGTTGGCCTTTCCAAGAATTGTTGATAAACTCTCGTGGGGAAACCACTCTACGGAATACCACGCGCGTTTTGGTCGAAAGTAAATTCGACCCACATGTAATTAAAACATGTATCGCGCAATTGTTTCTTCTTATCTTTCTCTTTTTTCCTGATTCCACAGCACTTTATACATGACCTTGCTCGAATATTACATTGATTACTTATAAATATTAGCAAGTGCAGAAGTACCAATCTAAACAACGAACTCAAATTATTTCAATGGGTTCCATCTAAAAATTTACGGTCTATTTATCATATATTACCTACCTACATTGACGCCCGAGATGCTAGGAAGTTATGTTCGTTATTTTGATCGCACATTGGAGTTTCCTAACGTTTCGCCCACACGAGTATGTATCAGAGTTTCTTCCATCTCCGATGCTGGATGTGGAATTCAGCTCACCACTCATGTTGGCGAAACATTAGGAAGCAATCAGAGGATGAAAGTTATGATCCCCTTCCTAATAGAATATCCTGGAGTTGATTCAAAGCTACTCAAGCGCCAATGTAGTTGTGGACTCCTCATCCAGGAGATGGAAGGAACCCTGAAGAAGTTCCCCACTCGTACTAGCGAAACGCTGGGAATTAGGGCAACATCAGTTCACCTATTGGTCGTGAAAGCCCTTAACAATTTGTCGAACATTAGGTGTTACAAATAATGTCATTTAAATGATCGTCCAGGATGACAATGCAATTTTCCAGGCGATCTATTGTCTCTCGCTGCACCATATTGTCTGGATTCGCCGTGATTTAACTTTTCATGGGTTCTTTTAATTCTTAAAAGGTTCTTGATTCGGCAATTTCAGGTAGGATACCCAAAGAAAGGAATCGCAGAAGAAAACCGTTCGTAGAAAGTCCATAGTCCATAGAAATTCTAGACGTGTAGAAGCCTTAGCTCCGTCGTGTTGAAACAAGGATTTCTATGGATATTCTGCGAACTATTATTCCCCCCATTCGTGATTTCCCGTCTTGGTGATCTCCCCTAGCCTCTACGCTTCCCAAATCTCACTTCCTTTGACTTCTTTCTTTGGAAACACCTGAAGTAAACTGTTGACGAGAAGGAACATTAAAAATTTCTGTCTGCCTGGCTTTCCCCAAGCACCTTCTACCCATTTTCACGATTCTTAAAATGGTCTTCCACTCTATGCTCCAGGTTTGCATTATAGTAGAGACTCTCTGATGGTAAATAACTGACATATAAATCAAATTATTCATTGTTTTATTGTCCAAGAAGCTTCTGGATAATATGGCAATATAATTCCGTGGAAATAACAATTGGTCCTCGTGACAGGCATACCCGTTCTGCGTCATGATTTCTACCTGCTGGTGAAGAGTCCGGGCAAGCAGGCTGGCAGCTGATCATTATTTTCGTGCTCTTCTTCGCCCCCATTTTTCGTTTGTAGCAGTCTTCTCTGTTAGTAAAAAAAGGGCCGATTCTGATACAAAACTCGTTCTTATATACTACAACCAGTAACAGGTGCTTATTTCATTGTGTTGTAAAACTTTTTCTGTTCCTGTTCGGTAGGT